TGTTTCGCTTGAATTCTATTCTTGGACAAAATGCGTTGAAAATGCAATAAAATGTTCTGAAATTGAATTGTTTTCAAGCATGAGTCCCATCTGCCTCAGTAGCGGGGATACTTTTCAAAGTTCGTAAATGGTTCATGCATACATTCTACTACTTTGAAATTTTCCAGAACCGTAACATCCTTGAGTTTAGTGAGCTCTTGAAACGAATACCTATCTGTCTGTCTGAATTTATAATTATTCACCACATGATTTTGGATCCACTCTGTATTTCATACACTTTATGATTTTGAATCCACCCTGTACTTTAAGCGCAACATAGTCAAACTTAACATGTTTTAGAAAGGATATGCTTATTTATCTCGAAAACGGTTCGTTTCTCGAAGAAAATTGGGAAGCAAAAAAGCCTTTAAATTGAATGAACCACCCTATTTCGAAAATGGATGATGTCAGAGGCGTATTACGAAAAAGTTTGGGAGGGTTAAAGAAGCCTCTACACCCCAAAACGTTCAACTCTGTAGATATTAAAAATCTTGAAAATACTTGAAATGATGATCTAGGAAATATTAGCCATACCGAATATCAAATTGATGCATCCAAGATTGGAAGGGATATTTTAATTAAAAGAAAGGAATACCTAATTAAACTTTGGCCCCTGTAGCTCCGCTACTATTGAGATTGGATTCATATTCATGAACACTTCTTGATTGAAATAATGAGATATATACCCATTTCAGTTTGTACCTTGAAACCTGTAACCTGAATCACCCTGCATACAAGGAGTTTGTTGCTTTTTGGGGACATTTTTCCATTTTTGCTCTGTAATGGTTCAACTAAATTCATCAATATTTCGCACACTCATTTCACTATTCATACTCGAAATATTCATGAAGAGTTGAGATCAGTTGAACAGAAAAATGCAGGTTTTGACTTGAAAAATAATTAAATAATTAATCAACTAAATGTAGTTTGTCAACTCTGGTATATACTTACTTACTTATCAAAATACCTATTTTTTTTTAATTGAAAACATATTTAGAATGTGAAACTGAATTAAAGATTATTCATATACAGGGTGGGTCAAGGTTGACGGTAGGTTCCTTAGACGTTTACGGAGAACGTGACATAGGATCATTCTGAAAATTTGGTTACTCATGTAGTTGCCCTTAGTATTTCGATCTAAAATATTTTCAGCAACACAGCGATGCCGCTCATACCAGAAAGTACTAGCAACTTCGATAATTCAAGTGGAACACGTATGTATTTCATTTAATTTCTAGATTTTTCCTGAAGAGCTGATTTCATCAATGTTTGGACTTGGAATTTGGCGGTAATGATTATACAGAGATATCGATGTTTTCTTTAGGATTTTTCTGTGTCGAAACTATTCATAATCGGTCAAATCGGTTTCCATGTCCCTATCTCAATTTTAGATTTACTATCTACTGACATGCAATTGGAACAGATACAGGGTGATCATAATTCTGAATCCTGAACCCCTTCTGTATTTCTTCCAATTAATTGGTTGAAACACTACGGAAGAAAAATATTTCAAAACATCAACAGAACCTGTTGCATTCCAGGAAAATTAGGACTTTGTGGATTTGAAATAGGTGCGGACCATCTCGTTTCATAAAAAACACCTCGCCCTGTATATGTTCAGAAATTTAGCATTCCGAATGTGCGATAAAACTATCGATTTTGAATATTTTGATACGGTTTCTGCCCTGCCTAGGAAAATTGATTAGACCTAATTGTGATCATAAATTATCATGAAAGACATTCTAACCAAGCTATTTACATAGCCCTCTCATAGTACTCATGGAAAAATATTTTTAAACTTTCCGTTTGTGTGGAAATTATTAATATATAATATCTGGATTTGGAAAGTTTATGAAGGTTTACTTTGCATTGATGTTTTCATCCAATTATCACTTTGTTATGACATCATTAATTTTGCAACAGACGAAACTGCCTTTTTGTATCATATTCAATTGACAAATTCCACCTAATTTCTATGTGATTATCTTCCTGAAATATTCCTGATGGAGATTTGTGTTTCGAAAAATTAAGCTATGTTGGTACAATTCTTGGAAATCCTGATAACTTTTATATCTTATATATTTTTATAAGCTTAATATGTTGCTCGTATGTAAATACTGAAGTTGGTACGAATACGATCATCAGATTTCCATGAAATGTTGCTTTCTTCTCGAAAGTCATTTAGATTTTTCCAGATATTTAGTGTTGAATTTTTGGAATATTTTCATTGTTTATATTGTCATGTGTCAACATATGTATTCATGTATTCATCAGGACAATGAGAATATTTATATATACAGGGTGACATAGAAAAAAGTACATTGCATAGTGCCACACAATAGAGGATACTAGAATGAGAAAAAAAGTTCTCATGAACATGGGTCCGCAAGTTCTTCGGTTAAAAGATACGGGGTGTTGAATTACATTTTTTTTTTTGGGTTTTCTTCGAATATCTTTAGCCAGAGACGCAAGAAATGGATAAAATGTGGTATACATCCCTATTGAATCGGCAGTAACTTTTTTGCTATACACTGTATGTCATTTTCGACGGAAAAAATTTGTTTTCCCTTCTTTTATACTTAAGAAAGGTATACCTTGTCTAAGCCGCTAGAAGCAATGGTTCCAGTACAAATGCATCTAAAAGCCGACAATGCACGCAAATTATTCAAAAAGCGCCAAAGTAACTTTTACGAAAACAATGATCAATACTTCAACAATTACATTTTGATGGTATGATGAAAAATATGATTGATTAGAACAGAACATTAAGTTTTTAGAAGATCTTCAAATTGTTGCCCTTGTACTTCAATACATTTTTCCATTTCTAAAAAAATTTAAATTCAACACCCCGTATCTTTTCACCGAAGGCCTTGCGGACCCATGTTCATAGAAACTTTTTTCCTTATTTTGGTGTCCTCTATTGTGTAGCACTATGCAATGTAATTTTTTTCTATGACACCCTGTATATATCTACCATGCACCAACAACTAAAACTTTTCATTGTATAAGAATCCAATTAGTTTCCACAAATAGAACTGTTGAGATTTTTATATTAGCACATGGCAACCAATCTAGCCAGGTCTGATGGTTCCTTAATTTTTTTGGAAAATCATAATACATAGTGTGAATATTACTGACTATTTAGTCTTGTACTGATTTTTTGTTCATTTTTTCAATGGAATCGATATGATTGAATTGCTACTATAATATTTGTTGTACACATCAAAGATAAAATAAAACTATATCGAAAATAGAGATATTGAACAGATTAAGATTGTATCAATTCATGATTTCCACAATTGATACAAATGAGATTGAGAAAATGTGTTTCGCCATGTGCTCGTGTTATAGATATGATCTTTTTGAAATCATTTCAGAATTCTAGGAATACTTTTGAGGTAGTGCACTATAGAGATAAGATATGGAATTCCTGATTATAATAGAGTTTAGGTAACTGATAACCATTAAGGAGTGTTCCACTTCATTCAGACATTGTATGTTATTAGAAAAGAAAAACAATGATATTCCAAATGCATGAATTCTACGAGAAAAAAAACTAGAAACAATACCTACACTTCTTCGACTTTGTGTATTTTGATTTTTTTTATTTCTGGCAAAAACAGGGAATTTGCAACCAAATTCGGTTGTGTTGTTTTTTATTTCCTTTGGTGCTCGAACTCGTTAAAATATTTTTTCAAAATTCTATGGAGCGCACTTTATATCGATCTATTACTTTATACTATAGGTACAGCAAGTTACTTCAAAATTTATCATATTATATTTCTTGTTTCAGTATATATATATATATATAAATATTAAGTATAGAGCAACTTACAGCTAGTGAAATGGATAAAGAAGCGCTGGCAATGTGGTGAGTCGAAACTTATGTTCAAGATTTTGCATGCAATTTTTTTAACACCATCACCTATTTTTCATTAATTCATTCACTAAATATTCAATGACGGAGAAATACCTATAATATATTCCGAATTTCCCAGTTCGACACGAACATTTTTGTTTAATATTTATGATCGCAATGAACACAACAATATAATGTTATGAAAATAAGAATTCGAGTTTTGGCAGAATGACCTATACGAATCAGATTCAGAATATGGTATTGAAACAAGACAGACATATTTTGTGAATGGCCAACTGATAATCTAGAATCTAGAATATTTTAGAGATACCTTGATTTATACCAGTGCACAGCTTATAAATTCAATATTTTCAAGAATTGCATATCATCAAAGAGAAAACACAGTAACGGTGGTATTGTCACTATTGTCTCAATTATGGCACTCTTTCAATGAACACAGACTTAGAAGACTTCTTGATCGATAATTCGCACAGAAAATTTCCTCTATTGTTTTTTCATGAACATCTAGGCGCGTTTAAAAATACTCTTCAATAATAAAACCACAAATGTGCACTGTCCGCAATTTTTATTATTTTTTTATTTCACGGTATCGTGCGTAGCTATGCTCCGTTCTGCATCCATCGATTTTCTTCCCATTTCCAGGCGATGCGAAAACCTACCCGAAAATCAGTTGAACTTTTCACCTTCGCGAATAAATAGGTCAGGCACTCACTTGTCATTCTAATCCAAATTGGTATATGCTAGCTAAATGGGGAGAATAAATCTTAATTTCTGTCAATCACTCTCGAACTTGTCACAGGTCAGAAACACGTTCTATATTTGGGATGAAAACTGCATCTGCGCGGATATGTCTATACATATATATATATATATAGAATATATGCTGGGATTCAAAACCGAGATGCTGCGAGAAGTGTCACACAAATCGGGAAGTTTTTGGATAACAATAACATTACCAACTCATATAAGTACATAGAAAAGCGATTCCTCAGAGTCAAAAAATTATCCTCAATAATTTCCTTTCTATGATACATTCCAGTAGGTTCCTGTTCAGGGTAAATATTAATTTTAAAACACTCACCCATTGACCCCATGATGTGGGTTTCATCAAATCCCAGTTACGCTGCCGTTCTTGATGATTTGAAGCAACCCTGTAATATTTCTCGTTCTTGGTTTTCGGCATGATGAGAAAAAAAAAACAACGGCAAGCGCGAATTGTTGGTGTGTCGCCACTGAGAAAACTGGTTCAAAATTTTGTAAAATTGGCCAACTATCGTGGACCGTCCGACTGAGAAGTGAACGAAGATATAATGACCGTTACTTGTTTTATACTAAGGTAATACCAGTGGTGTAACTTTAGTTTGGACACTCCCTAGAACGGTTTCAAAAACCATGTGAACATTGTGAAACCTGTATCAGGTTCTGAGAAATGAGATGTCATCGTACCGAAAATATTCAGCATGTGTTTATTGAAAAAAAATTCTGTGACGTAGCCATACTTCTCATTCCTTATATATAATTATTTCAAGAGCTATATATAGAATTAAATCATTTATGTATATGTATTGGTCTGTATAGGTAATTGGAGGAAAACCCATCACTGTATTTTTCCCTTTATTGTGTCCATATTATTATAGATTCTTTATCATCAATTTATGAGCTTATAATAATGCTAGACAAGAAGCTGGACCCAAACTGATCTATACCTTTATAATGATAGTAAGTTTAAAGAAGATTGGGGAAAAAATATGGAAAGGTCTAATTTTTTTTAATCCACAGGACTGGTACATACTATATGTATGCTCCATTGAAAATGACGAAGTCATTTTTTACCGAAACATAAATCTACTTTTTTTATTTTAAATGGGACACGCTTTATGTTGTTTTTCCATATTCGCATTCAATACGAATTCAATGATCCGGGTTTGATTTCACGACAAATGAATATAATTAGCGAAAAACTCATTAGTGTGACTGAGAGAGAAATGTACATAGGCGCCATCATTTGAAAGTAGCTATGAGACGATGCAGTTACAAATGTTTAATATATCGTATATCATAATAATTTATACGAATTATATATTGTCAAATTTTGAAGCATCGGCTGGGAATAACGATTCACTGTTGCGTACCAATTAGCAGTGCTGCTCCTAAGGTGACGTATGGAGTTAGTAACAGAACCTACACAGAACACACAATTCAGAACAATTTGGCCTGAAAGACCTCAACGAAGGTTGATGACCAGTTGATGTACCATACGTACGTATACTACTACCAAACGATGAATGTAAAAAACGTGTTGATTTCAGAAATTAAAAAGATAAAAAAGATAAAAGATTAAAAAGAAATATTCAGTTGAAACTAAACTGAAAAAAATGAAAATTGTTCGATACTCATCGTATTATTCCATCTTTGAATTTTTGGAGGGATGTATCTGCGATCACATCACAGTGGGTATACATTCTGATAGTATCAAAATGAATTGAAATACTCTCAATGCACAGATTTGGTGATAGGCTGAAAAAAATAATATCTAAATATATATTAGGATTATGAGAACAATTTTCATCCAAAAATATATGTGTTTTTGCTAGAAGTGTGGTCTGATTTTCAGAGATTTTTTTTACAAATACATGAGACGATTACATTAACACAATAGTATATTACTTGAAAAAGAGAATGCAGATATTTGGAAACAAAATGTTAATTAAAAGTACTTTCTTTATGTGTGCATCTATAGATAGTGGAAGGAACATAATATGTATATACATCAAATATCATTTGCACTGCATGTTTTCGAAATATGATGAATGAAAAAATGTATTCCTATATACAGGGTGTAATTCAATTGGTGGCTAAAAATATAGGATATGAATCCTAAGCTCATTTCAAGACGAAAAGTTCATAGGATTATATGCCCCAAACCTCTTAACTTTCTAGCTATAGGGTGTTGAGATTTTAAAAAATAAATTGTTTTGTTATATCTTCATACTGTTTTAGATATTACCATGCAATTTGACATGCACCTATAGGCATTTCTTGATGTAGGAGATTTTTTTACCAGTGGCGTCAGTATGGGATGTATACTGGAGACTTTCTTTAAAAAATATGGTACGCCCTTGCTTTTTCCCAAAAAAATTCTTTTTGAAATCCTCACTGATTTTGCAACAATACGATTACTTGAATTTTTTCCGTTCAACGCACCGTTTTCACTTAAAAAAATAAATACCATTTAGGCTAATTCAATCACTTGACTTTACTTGAATGAAAATGAGACAAAAACAGATATTACCTACAAACTACCACAGGGTGCCTGTCAAATTTCATGAAAATACCTATAACAGTGTCAGCCCGTAGATTCAGACGAATTACATCTGTATATTACTACTATTTCTTCTACGACCAATAAATAATGAAATAAAAATAAAACTTTTGACGCGTTGTGATTGAATGCCAATTAAAATTAAATATCAAACAACTCAAGCAAGTGAGATAGAATCATAGATCCACTTGATTATACCCAAGTACGTGTTTTTATAGGACTAAAATTCGTTTCATAATGGAAAGTACGTGTCTTATTGGTCAAAATCTGTATCATAATGAGATTCCGTGTTGAAATGAACAATATTAATAAATCGGCAGCTGATATTTAATTCGCGTATTGTAATACGGGAGTACAAAAAATTAGATCATAGAAGCCTACAGTAGCCTGCAAAAAGTTCTTCACACCAAAAATGATTAGAACTGCATAACCTTGAAAATTCTCAAAAATCCACTCATAGATAGATTCAAAAGATTCTATAGTTTTCATTTTTCACTAAAATGTATCATTTCGAAAAACAGGTTTTGGGGTCCAATATGGCAATTCTATACTCCCATTATTTTTGGTAACTTGCGAATTGTTATAATTGTCGTTTAACAAATTTTCGAATATCATTCTTCGACGCCCTGTACATCAAACAAGTAGGCTCAACATGAAAAATGACACTATATAAGTCGTCTTACATAGTTCAAGGAATATGAGTATATGGTCCAAGGATTTACTTGTTTCAGAACACCTGGTATACACATATACATAATAGGAGGGTGAAAGAACTTACAGTCACAACTCCACCACATAGAACAATTCAATATTGACCAATGGTCTTGGACAAATGGGACATGTTTCGAAGGATTGATCCTGCCTCATCAGCAACATTTATTTAAAAAAAAATCTGTAAGAAGAGAACAATGCTTATGTTAGTTCTTAAATATTGTTGAAATGTCTAAATTCACCAATACCATTATTGGAAGTAAAGATAATATTCAGAAATACAGAATCGTATAATGCGGGTTAGGGAACCATAATTGAAGTTCGATTAAGGCCTAAAATTTCAAAACTCTCAGTTCAAAAAAGAACTTCCAAAAACCAACATGTGGGTGCGAGTTTGATGAATTGGGTTAACTCATCACAAATGAGATATTACACTTGACAACAATGACACTTGACAATAATGACATTAAAGACAGAACACAACATCGGAATGACAAAAGTCAAGTCAAAATCATTAAATGTTTTGATTCGAAGTGACATGGAACACAGAACAGAATTATAACTTTGAATTATATAGTTGAAATAATATAGAGTTGAATAATTTAAGACCATGGAACTAACATAAGCATTGTTTTCTTCTTACGGGTTTTCTTTTTTTAACTAAATGATGCTGATGATGAAGGGTTAATCCTTCGAAATATGTCCCATTTGTCCATGACCGTTGGTCAATATAAAATTGTTTTATGTTGTGGAGTTGTAACTGTAAGTTCTTTCACCCTTTCTGATTTATATCACCTCCACCATAGATCTAAATGGATCACCACGTTGGATATATACAGAACTGTCCAGATTCTGTGATCACCATTGATAACTCAACATCATTGTTTCAATGAGAAAATTTGCATATATTCAACGCTATTCAAGATAAAAAAAAAATTAAAAAAACAATTGAGCATTGCGCGAGTTTTATCGAAAATTAAATTGCTATCTATTGCATTTGCAGAATAATATGGGAAATTCACTTTCATGGTGAAAAAATACTAATCCTTTGGTCATTTCAAAAATTTCTTATTTTTAATAACAACGAAGTTATACCAATGGCTGCGGACACTTAATTTGAATAACCCTGTATAGGTATGCAAAAAAGAGTGGGTATAAACTGCTATAAATAACGTTTGCAGACACCAACAATAATAAGAGAAGCAAAGCTACGTCGATCTGTGAGAGACTCTTTTTTTTTTTGGTGTAGGTACACAGATTTTGTAACGCATCAGATCATCAGAGCAATTACAACCAGCTTCACATACCTATACCACATACCATCGAACAACAGTCTGAAATTTGTTGTTTGATGCCTATACCTATATGATATAGGAAATGGTTTTTCCACCAAAACGTCTGTTTCACCGCAAATATAGATTTCCAAAGGAGCTGATGGTGTATCGATTGTTAATATTTTCATTGAATCGGTGAAGAATAATTAGGTATTTTATTTACCTACAACCTACAACAGACCTTCTGATTACAAAACTGAATACCGTCAGCATAGATTTTATGATGCCGTCAGGCATTTTAAGAAGACCGACATGTAGAGTCACACGTCCGCAATATTCATTCAAAAGCTGATGGATTACATCGATTCTCGAAGATATTGAAGGCTTTCATTTCTTAATTCTAGAAACATTTTCTCTCCATGAACAATACTATGTTAGGTATCTACGTATAGGTATTGTCTGACTGTACTGATGTTTTTTTTGGGTAAATAACCTGATCTGACTGTCTACCACATGATATTATGTGCAACAAACATTATTTTCACATTACATACCGTTATCATCGAACACGGATGTGTTGAAAATATTGATAAAGTTAGTATCTCGCCGATTATCGATATCGATTTCCTCATATATTCACCCATACCAACGGTTATTGAAATGCAAATATTTTTATTAGGAAAATTACCCATGATAACCTAATAATCAAATTACAGGATCGAATCTGATGATGAGGTACCTATACTATTATTGTTATCCATTGGACAGAAATTAAAATAGAATGAGAATTGATATTCAGGTCAAGCCCTTATAACATGAAAAAAGTGTCTGCCAGATTTTTTATATAATAGCCATTTATTTTTAGAAAACTCGTTAACTTTCGAGTTTTTAATCATTTGATGAATATTGCATCTATACCTACTCTTTCTACAGTTTCCATACTCCGACTGAGGACCAAAATGGTTCGAATAACCACGAA